TGTCGACTATAAGCCTCCTTGTGTGTGTTTGTGTGGTCTGTGCTGCAATGTTGCTGTCCACTGTGCTGAATCGAGGCCTGGTGTGGCCACTGCCCATCGCTGGCTTCAAAACTACTGCTGTCTGCATAGAGGACTCTGCATGAGAGCCCCGGGCCTGCAGGAATAAGTCCAGTCCTCCTCCCTCGTGTGTAGATCTGATGTAAAATGGTGCTAAAGATGGTGCTGGGTGGGATGTAAATAAAAAAAAAGAATCGAGCTCACTATATAGGCTCACCTTGATCCTCTGAGAAGTCACCATGCAGCTGCTGTGGTTCTGTCTGATCTGATGTGTTTTGTATCCGTCTGCTTAAGGAGTCGCCTTGTGCAGTTTTTAGTTATCATGGATCATTTTTTGGACCTTCTGTTTTCCTAATTGATAGCATTTGTTCCCCCCACCGTCACAATAAAAGAGAGAATAGAGAATAAAAGAGAGTAGAGCGGAAACAATCGGTCCATTAGTCGATCAGTTGGAACCCAGAAAATGAATTAATTATTTTATTGATGCTTGTATTTATAGGACAATACGTTTAGGCCTATAGCATGGACCAGTGCCACACACCACTACATTTATAGTCTAAGGTGGTTTGCGGTGTGCTTCCATTCAAATACACAAAAACTCAACAAGAAAACAGCTCTAAATACGACTAATAAGAATAACTGTAATTTGATTTAACTGTTGTGCAGCTTCTCTCTGCTTGTCTCTGTTCTGTATTTCCGTAAACTTAATATCAGACAAAACAAGACATTTAAAGTCATCTCCTTTGGCTTTCACAGCTCTTTTTGGTTTTTACATTTCATAGACTAAATGATCAGCTGACTAAACAAAAAAGTGATAGATTATTCGATAATGAAAATTATTTTAGTTGCAGCCCAGAAAGAGAATAAATTATCAAACTCATGTGCTGCGTCAGTCAATTTCTCTATATTTACATTGTTTATGGCCAATTCTTCTTTCTTTCATATTGATTTGATTGTGTGGAACGTCTTTTTCATCAGTGTGAAAAATATGCTTGTTTTTTGGAAAACTATTCACACTAAATCAGTGTCAGATGTTGATTGTAGTCCATTTTTATATCTTCTAAATGACTCATCTCTCTCTTTAGAGCAGGAAATGCAACTAATATTAATTGTTTACTTTACAGTGATGTGTATTTTGTTGTCTGAATGAAAAAGAAGATGAATTTCAAGTTATAACTTAATTTAACGATGACAGATGTTACCATCACAGAAATTAAGTCTGATAAAGCAAAATTGTGGGTTTATCTTAGAAAATGTTTGGGGCCCTTTTCTATTTGGAAACAACTGTTCTTTAGTTGTTGTGTTGAATTATCAGGCATATTTTGTCCTCAGGTAAATGACATGACATTTTCATATCATTATGTGCTATTTTTTTTATTTAGAAAACTGTTTTCATGTGTATTCTTTATGAACTGAACTAAAAACCAACCTCTGTTCTCTGTTCTTCCAGTGGGGAAAACATCTCTCATCACTAGATTCATGTATGACAGTTTCGACAACACGTATCAGGTGAGACAGAAACATCATAAAACATAGACATGTAGAAGAATTAAATGCATGAGATGATGATTACCACTTTTCTTTTGGCCAAAGCCATATTTTAGAAACAAATCATCCTCCAATTGTCCTCCAATGTTAGATTTAAATAAATGAAATAATGGGACTAATCACATTGTAGGTCTACAATATGTTAAGCCGTCTTTGTCATAATAGAGACTGATTAACCACTGAATGAAATTACAATGAAAACTTTTTGGCCACAAATGGCCACTTGATATATATATATATTACAACCAGGGTCCATGTAATTTAAGTTAACATAATGATGTCCAAATTTGAATGTTGTTAACAAGCAAATGTTAGAATAGTAATTTCAGGCTCTTAAATTATCATACAAATGATTCTGTCTATTGTAGAAAAGTTTGGTACACAACGAGTCTGAATGATTGAGCCCTGAGGGCAATACGAATTAAATTAGTTTTTCAGTCTGATTCAATTCCGGTGCTTATTGGCTCTTTTTTTTTTCTTAACAGCTTTTTGTATTTTCCTTCATTGAAATGGTCACTCTGCTAGGAACAACAGATGGTGCAGGGAGACATTTAGCCTTTAAAATCTGGGCAACACTGATGATTGTTTCCCCCCCTCTTTTGTTCTTTCTCCACCACAGGCAACCATTGGAATAGACTTCCTATCAAAGACAATGTACCTGGAAGACCGAACAGTAGGAAGCCTTGTCATTTAAAATTCACATGTAGATGCATGTAAAGAGAAATTCATGCATTTTTTTTACTGCATTGTCATTTTAGCTAGTCAACATCCTAAGTAAGAAATGTCCCAATTTCCACTCTGTTTTCAATAATCCTTGATTTGATTTGCTTAATTACTGCTCTCTTCACAGACTAACACGATTACCCTAAGGTTATTTCTGGCAGTAATAGCTTTGGTGCTTTGGCTTTTCTAGCCCTAAGAAGTCAAAGCCTTTCCTATGGATCATCTACTTTAGTTAGTATTAATACTATTTCTTGGTCAGGATATTATGCTCTGTCAGCCTGCACACAAGCTGATACTGGCTTATCCCTTTTGGATGTGTACTTACGAAGCCCTTACATCTGCGTGGTCTGCGTGTAGTGTGATAGTTAATGTTGAAGCAGCTGCTGAAGGTGTGTGTGTGTGCGTGTGT